CATTTGTTGTCATTGTACCTGAGGTGTTAGCGTGTGTGTACATTTGGTGTCATTGTAGTGAGGTGTTAGCGTGAGTGTACATTTGGTGTCATTGTAATGAGGTGTTAGCGTGCGTGAGTATAGGGTTTAGGGCTTTGGGCATAGTCTGTTGATCGCACTTGCCCGTGGTTGCGGCAGTCCCGTGGTAGCCGATTGAGTAGCTCGAGCGCTGTGCCTTATAAGGACAGGATGCATCAGTAGGTAGGAGGTGCGTACTACCCGCCGACGTTACACACTCGTCTGTGCCATTCTCTGAGTGAGCGTGTGCACGCATGACTCATCTTTGGAGCAAGAGTGTGGGACGACTCTTACATAACACGGCTGTTGGTGTGAGTGGGTGCCATATGCCCTGACCTGCATGTGACTGTTCCCACTACGTACGTCTGCTTATGAACCTCTTTTGATTGGCTGTACAGCTATTGGTGACTCTGACCGGTGACCATATACATTGTAGTGACGATCGGATGACCATATGCATTGTAGTGACGACCGGATGTTCTCCCTTTGGGGGGGGGGGGGTGGCGTGTTTGTCCCACTGACCCACCAACACAACGAACAAACTCATTGGAGTGGAGAGGAGGTTGTACGGCTGAGGCTACGGTCGCACTACACTGACTGGCTGTTTGTCTCACTGACCCATCACCACACGTCTGCATGCAGTCCACAGGGCCACATTGCGTGCAAAGAGTGTGTCTATACCAGTCTACTCTCGCAGAAGAAAGAGTATAAGCGCCAGCTAGAGGCACACAATGAACAGGCCGCGGCAAACAGGGTATGTGGGGAGTCTGTGATGTACAGATACGAGAGTGTTACAATGTGGCTCAAAACAAGCGATATTAATGTATTCAACGGGCAAGACTCATATGTTCAGATGACTATTATCATTTACAAAATATGAATATGTATCTATCTATGTATCTATGTATCTATGAATCCATGTATATATGTATCTGTGTATGGATGGATGGATGGATGTATGCATCTATGTATGGATGTATGGATGTATCTATCTATCTATATATCTATCAATGTACGTATGTATGTATCTATGTATCTATCTATGTATCTGTGTATATATGTGTGTGTACATGTAGGGAATGTAATTTGTCATCGTTGCATCCATTCGTGTGCATGTCATCTGCGACGTGTCCAATTCTCATTGACAGACATGACAAGTGGTCTTCTATTAAGTTATATGTCCTACTACTTCACTTAGTACGTTAGTCACACCCCTTAGATCCATAGGGGAGTGAACAGCCTGTGTGTAGATAGACATGACAAGTAGTCTTCTATTAAGTTATATGTCCTACTATTTCACTTAGTACGTTAGTCACACCCCTTAGATCCATGGGGGAGTGCACAGCCTGTGTGTCGATAGACATGACAAGTGGTCTTCTATTAAGTTATATGTCCTACTACTTCACTTAGTACGTTAGTCACACCCCTTAGATCCATGGGGTAGTGCACAGCCTGCCCTTCCCTATATTGACAGAGACTGTGTGATAGTACCCAAATGGGGCACGTCCGTGATATCTGCTATAGTGTTGTCATAGCATGATTGATATGTGCTATAGTGTTGTCATAATATGAGTGATATGTGCTATACTGTTGTCATAGAATGAGTGATATGTTCTATAGTGTTCTCATAGAATGAATGATATGTGCTAGTGTTGTCATAGAATGAGTGATACGTGCATACTGTTGTCATAGAATGAGTGATATGTGCTATGGTGTTCTTATAGAATGAATGATATGTGCTAGTGTTGTCATAGAATGAGTGATATGTGGTGCTATAGTGTTGTCATAGAACGAGTGATATGTGCTATACTGTTGTCATAGAATGAGTGTTATGTGCTATAGTGTTGTCATAGAATGAGTGAAATGTGCTATAGTGTTGTCATAGAATGAGTGATATGTGCTATAGTGCTGTCATAGAATGAGTGATATGTGCTATAGTGTTGTCATAGAATGAGTGATATGTGCTATACTGTTGTCATAGAATGAGTGATATGTGCTATAGTGATGTCATAGAATGAGTGACATGTGCTATAGTGTTGTCATAGAATGAGTGATATGTGCTATAGCGTTCTCATACAATGATTGTACTTGGACTTGTGCCACAGCGTAAAGACGAGGACAAGGAAGAACTAGCACGACAGGGGGAGATAAAGAAGTATGACAATGTTTCTTTAGTACATGCATGACTATGTTTCTTTGGTACATGCATGACTATGTTTCTTTGGTACATGCATGACTATGTTTCTTTGGTACATGCTGGACTTTGTTTCTTTGGTACATGCATGACTATGTTCCTTTGGTACATGCATGACTATGTTTATTTGGTACATTCTTGACTATGTTTATTTAGTTCATGCATGACTATGTTTCTTTGGTACATGCTGGACTTTGTTCCTTTGGTACATGCATGACTATGTTTATTTGGTACATGCATGACTATGTTTCTTTGGTACATGCTTGACTATGTTTCTTTGGTACATGCATGACTATGTTTCTTTGGTACATGTATGACTTTGTTTCTTTGGTACATGCATGACTGTTTCTTTGGTACATGCATGACTGTTTCTTTGGTACATGCATGACTATGTTTCTTTGGTACATGCTGGACTTTGTTTCTTTGGTACATGCATGACTATGTTTATTTGGGACATACATGACTATGTTTCTTTAGTACATGCATGACTAAGTTTCTTTGGTACATGCATGACCATGTTTCTTTGGTACATTCATGACTATGTTTCTTTGGTACATGCATGGCTATGTTTCTTCAGTACATGCTTGACTATGTTTCTTTGGTACATGCATGACTATGTTTATTTGGTACATGCATGACTTTGTTTCTTTGGTACATGCTGGACTTTGTTTCTTTGGTACATGCATGACTATGTTTCTTTGGTACATGCATGTCTATGTTTCTTTGGTATATGTTTGCCAATGTTTATCCGGTGTGTGTATGTCAATGATAGATCCTTTTGTGTGTGTATATAGATCCTTGTGTGTGTATATAGATCATTGTGTGTGGATATAGATCTTTGTGTGTGTAAATGGGTCCTCGTGTGTGTACTTAGATCCTTTGCGTGAACATAGATTCTTGTGTGTGTATATATAGATCCCTGTGTGTATATAGATAGATCCCTGTATGTATATAGATAGATTCCTCTGTGCGTATAGATAGATCCTTGTGTGTGTATAGATAGATCCCTGTGTGTATATAGATAGATCTTTGTATGCATATAGATAGATTCTTCTGTGCGTATAGATAGATCCTTGTGTGTGTGTGCACATAGATCCTTGTGGGATGAATGCGTGTATAGATAGCTCCTTGTGTGATATACCTACTTTCGCTCGTCCGGTTAACCCACATCTCTCATCTGGTACTTTGCGCCTGTCAACTGATGTTCCGCTGTGTTCCATTGACTGCAGATTTGAGGCGGCACAGACATCTTTGATGGCGCATAAAGCATCCACTGTCACCAAGAAGTCGAGTAAGTGGCCGTGTTGCTATATTTAAGATCATTTGACAGCTAGTGGAGTAAGTGGCTGTATTGCTATATTTAGAACCATTTGAAAGCTAGTGGAGTAAGTGGCTGTGTTGCTATATTTAGAACCGTTTGAAAGCTAGTGGAGTAAATGGCTGTGTTGCTATATTTAGGACCATTCGAAAACCAGTGGGGTGCGTGGCTGTGTTGCTCTATGAAGTTGCTAAATGATGTGCTATATCTAAGACGACTATAAAGAGATGTCTAATCATAGGGCAGTCCTAGTTCACGCAGCAGGTGCCAAGTGGCGGGCGTGTGTAGTTGGCAGAGTGTTTTCTCACAACCTCCAAAAGTACAAGCCATAACATCCTTTTGAAATTTAGGAAGTCACAGCATTTTTGGGATCCAACGTGCATAAATTTGGTACGAATTTCAGTCAGCGATCCGAATTTTAAACTAGAGTGTTCAGGGTTTTAAAGAGCTGGAATGCTCTCTGTGGAACTAATTGAAAACGTAGGTTTCATTTCATACGGATTGGTTGGTTAGTTCTCGAGATAGGATTTGTACCGTTAACGGTATGTTAAGCTGTGGGTACATTTGTACTGCTAGCGGTACAATTCGTATCGCCTGAACCAACCAACCGATTTGCCTGAAATTAAAGCTCTGATTCTAGTTAGTCGTATAGATTGGCATAGAAGTCCAAAAAATTGGAATTCAAACCCAAAATATCGGATCCTGTAGCATCAAAATATCGAATTTGTATGAGAAGTTGGTACAAAAACATTGAACCCAAAAAAAAATCTTGGCACTAAAATAATGTCCCCCTTACATAGGATGTCTGACTTGTACAATTTAGGAAGCTATGTGCAAAAGGATGTCAATGTCCCCCTTACATAGGATGTCTGGCTTGTACAATTTAGGAAGCTATGTGCAAAAGGATGTCAATGTCCCCCTTACATAGGATGTCTGGCTTGTACAATTTAGGAAGCTATGTGCAAAAGGATGTCCATTTTAGGAGGCTATGTGCAAAAGGATGTACAATTTAGGAGGCTATGGGCAAAAGGATGTACAATTCAGGAGGCTATGGGCAAAAGGATGTGCATTGTAGGAGGCTATGGGCAAAAGGATGTACAATTTAGGAGGTGAGGCTATGGTTGTCTGCACTTACTGACACATGTTGTACCCCGTCTTCCAACACAGCCACGGCGCGGAGTGACGGAAAGCGAATATACGATGTCAGCAAGCAGAGTATGTGGACACCAGCCAAACACGCACATGTGCATGTGCATATACAGGTGCATGTACATGTGCATGTGCATGTGCATGTGCATATGCATGTACATGTGCATGTACGGTCTCATAGGCTTATTTTATCTGATTGTAGCCTGATGTTGGAGCTCTGCAGCCTGGCGGAGTGTTCTTTTGATTGCCGTGCATCGATGTGGGTGCTAGTAATACTGAATGTTTCATACGAACCCATCCATTCGGTCTTTCTTTACTTCCAATGTCTACAGCTATATGTAATATACCCATTAATTCGTGTTTTGTTGGGCACAGATATTTGGCCTGACAGGCCAGATCAATTGAACGTAAACTCTTCCGATCGTAAGCCGCCCACGGGGCCACTGGAAGGGTCCGAAACATCACAGGTACACAACCTTTGTGTTATGAGTTGAATGCACTATGTAGCACAGGTACACAACCTTTGCGTTATGAGTTGAATGCACTATGTAGCACAGGCACACAACCTTTGTGTTATGAGCTGAATGCACTATGTAGCACAGGTACACAACCTTTGTGCTATGAGTTGAATGCACTATGTAGCACAGGTACACAACCTTTGTGTTATGAGTTGAATGCACTATGTAGCACAGGTACACAACCTTTGTGCTATGAGTTGAATGCACGATGTAGCACAGGTACACAACCTTTGTGCTGTGAGTTGAATGCACTATGTAGCACAGGCACACAACCTTTGTGTTATGAGTTGAATGCACTATGTAGCACAGGTACACAACCTTTGTGTTATGAGCTGAATGCACTATGTAGCACAGGTACACAACCTTTGTGCTATGAGTTGAATGCACGATGTAGCACAGGTACACAACCTTTGTGCTGTGAGTTGAATGCACTATGTAGCACAGGCACACAACCTTTGTGTTATGAGTTGAATGCACTATGTAGCACAGGTACACAACCTTTGTGTTATGAGCTGAATGCACTATGTAGCACAGGTACACAATCTTTGTGTTATGAGTTGAATGCACTATGTAGCACAGGTACACAACCTTTGTGTTATGAGCTGAATGCACTATGTAGCACAGGTACACAACCTTTGTGCTATGAGTTGAATGCACTATGTAGCGCAGAGTGGTGATGCTACTGTCATATGCGAGTGATGGTGATACTATCATATGCAATTCAATACAGCACCAGTTGCCTATACGAATGGCGAGTGAATGTGCTACCATCATATGCAATTCAATACAGCACCAGTTGCCTATACGAATGGCGAGTGATGGTGCTACTATCATATGCATTTCAATACAGCATCAATTACCTATACGAATGGCGAGTGAATGTGCTATTATCATATGCAATTCAATACAGCACATGTTACTTATACAAATGGCGAGTGAATGTGCTAACATCATATGCAATTCAATACAGCACCAGTTGCCTATACGAATGGGTCTACTTGTGGGCGTGTGTGCAGATGTGTGCTTGCCCTGTGCGCTTCTCAGGCAGCTCGCCTGTGGGTTCAGTATGTGCTTGTAGGATAGTCCTACTTTGTAGCAGATACACATACCTGTTATTATGTAGTATCAAATGGTATATGTACTATGTACAAGTACATATCACCTGTTACTATGGGGTATCAAATGGTGTATATACTATGTACAAGTACACGTCACCTATTACTATGTAGTATCAAATTGTATATATACTATGTACAAGTACACATTGTAGTATGTAATATCATAGTCACCTGTTGCTATGTAGTATCAAATAGTTTATATACATACATAAGTACACATCACCTGTTTCTATGTAGTAACTACCGGTATATATACTACACACAGGTACACATTGTAGCTTATCATGTGCCTTTTTCAGTGGTTAGGATATATGTATTGAAGTTTTGTGGTTCGCTCTTTTATATTATAGAGTTGAGTGTGTAGTTTCTGATGACTTTCTCCATTTGAACTATACACAGGTACCCGAAGCAGGCCACATCGAGGCGGATCTGAAGGCGTTGCCGGCGTTCTGGATAGTAAGTACCCGTTTTGGTATTTCATTGATATATATATATGTATATACATATATGTATATATATATATGTATATACATATATGTATATATATATATGTATATATATATATATATGTTATATATAT